TATATATTTTCTATGACAGCAAGCGGTGTTGAAAAGTTTGCCATTTAGAACCTATATTCTAACATATCATAAGTATGTTATAACAAAAAAAATGAAAAGTATAATTCAGTTGTCCATTTGAAGGCAAGGGTTGTTGCTGAAAAGACACTGAACAAAACTTGTGTAGTTGAAACAATAAAAAAAAAAAAGCAACAAATCTTTGAAAAACAACTAATTTCACAATCAACGATTTTAGCATATTGATTTATAGACAAAGCAATATCAAATATTATTTATTTATAAAAAAAGGACTACACAAATATTAAAAACCCACAATACAAAAGCAATCACAAAACAAATAATGAACATAACAATGAAACAAATGACAAAAATACCTTGATGTCACGAACAAAAGTAGCCCAGACAGTTGAGAGATAGGAAGAAAAAACAAAGAAAACTAATCAAACAATAGAAAAGAGGAGAAGTTTCATGAGCATGAAAGTCAAAATTTAAATTAATATCTAGACTTTTAGAATATTAATTAGCCATGATTTATAGTAATAGTTGTTATATGAATAGCATATTGAAAATAGATGGTTGTATAGATTTGAATAATAGCAATATGATTCAATAAAAGATGAATATAGCTGAAGCAAATAAAAGATTGAAATTGAAAAGTCAATTTTATGAATAACCTTTACAAAATCTAGTTATAGCTCTACCGAACACTGGATCACAAATCATGAGAGCAACTATGAAACAATTAACGCATATCAAAATGCATAGATAAGGAAAGTACAATAAGAAAATAGAAGAAACAAATTAAACCATGGTAATTTTAAATAATTAATGATAATTTTTTTGCTCTCATATAGTGGATCATTAAAACTTTGCATATATTGATTAAGTACGGCTAAAACCTTTTTTGGCAAAAAAAAATATATCATGATAATACAATCAATAGAGACTGAATCGCACAAAAATGAACATAAAAGTAGTTGCCTTAAATACATAAGTGTGATTTTGTAGCACAAATGCATGATACTATTTCTGAAACAATATTCAACAAAAAAATTAATGCTAGAGGTGCTATTCATCTCAATTGAACGTGAAATGAGAATAAGAGTTGTAGAACATGTAACATAGAAGGATTACATTTATTTATCCATTTAAAAATTAAATGTTCATAACTACTAGAAATGAACTACTAATACAAATAAAATATAATGATTAATTGTCTTCGCAGATGGATTTGTTCACTTATCTCCTTGCTTCTATTGAATTAACAATGGTTATACCACCATGGATGGTCCAAATTTCATAAAGAGAAATATCCTTCTCATTGCTAAAGGAAGAAAAGGTCGCACATAGTATAGCGATTCTTTTCAATTATTAATCTTTCCCTTAACAATGAGAAATATTTATTTCATGCCAAAATCAGGCCATCAATAACAACACTAACCATTACTATTCTTAATCTTAAACATCCTCAAAGAAATAATTTCAGTTGAAAAAACTTCATATGTAAACTAAAATAAAAAACAGAGACCAAATGACATAAGCATTAACACAAAAGCATGTGGCTTAACAAAAGATATATACTTAGATACAACAAACATGATTGATATGTAAACTAAAATAATAAACAGAACAAAATGACATGAACATTAACATAAAAGCATGTGGTTTAACAAAAGATATATGTGAAGCGATAAAAAACATATTTGAAAAACGCAAAGATTTAGTAAGGCAACATGATAAACTCTTAACAAAATGCAATTTGAAAGTTAAGTTTACTTGACTAAGTAATTGATTTACCAAACTTTAACCACAGTTTTGTCCAACTTGACTGCAAAATAAAAACAAAATAGAAATCAAGAACAAAACTCATTAGTAAAAACCATTTAAAATATAAATAAATAATAAAAAAGAAATCAGTTGCCTGACTCAATAAGAATACTCATGTGTGATGATTCTCATGTAGCAGCTACTCAGTCAATGTTCATATTCAAATACATAAATTCTTGACTATTATAAATTAACAATCACTAGGGATTAATTAACATATGTACACCCGCACCAATGTTAAAAAAATGTTATAAAAAAAGGCTAAATCAACAATAAAAAAGTATTGATTACCAAGTATAAAAACAAAACTAAATCTACACAAAGACTTAAATAATAGCAACAAAAATTATAATAGAGCAAACAATCAAAACTAATTCTATAATTAAGGATGCTTTTCTATTGATTCCTATAGAGAAAGGAATGACTTACATTTTTTATTCCTTGTAGAAAACCCTCAAACAAACACAAAAAACATATAAGAGAAAAACATATAAAATATAAAAAATCAAAAGAAACCCTAAAAATTAGAGCACAAAAATGACTAGAAATGAATAAGCGAAGAGGAAACCCAAAAAAGAAACATCCAAGGAAGGAGAAACGACTTCTACGCATAAAAAGAAAAACCAATCTCATAAAAACAAAAACGGTAGACAAAGAGGAAGAAAAAAGGGAGAAAGATCCGAATAGAATAGAAAAGCAAAATCGTCTTGAGAACCAAAGCCAACACTGGAAAACCATTCAAATAGCGCAACAAAACCCTTATAAAAAGCCAACAATCATCATGATAGGAAACAAAATGATAGACATTGAGAAGACAGCCCGAAGGACCCAAACACGCAAACGATTTCAAGCTAGCCACGTAAAACGACTGTATAGCCTCCAGTTGCTAATCCCAAATCTCCATAAACCAAATAAGCTTCACGTAACTCTAAATAAGAGCCCGCAAAGAGAACAAAGAGAAGAGCCTACTTAGTTTTATAACATGACAGAAGGGTTATGTGAATAAAAAGACATTAGTCAATTCTTTAGCTTATTTGAATGTTTACTTAGTTTTGTAACGTGGCATGAAATTCTCGAATACAGCAAGAATTGGGCAAACAAGGTGGCAAGATAGTAAACTATCAAAATAAGAATAATAAAAAAAAAGTCGAATTACCTTGATGTAGAGGAGAAAAAATGAAGGGCATACCATGAGGAATTTTTCCACTAGCTTATAGAACACTCGCAATTCTTAAATTGATTTCAATGTGTAAAAAATTGACAAGAGAATTCCCTTTTTATAAAGTAAAAAGAGAGAGTTCTTGTTGATTAAAGAATGCAATACTAATTGCAATATACTTTTTCAAATAATTTTTTTATAATATACTTCTTCCTAGATTATAGTCTTATTGCAATATACTTGTTCAAATAGTTTTATGGCAATATACATCTTCTAAGATCATAATTCTCTTACCAATGAGTAAATATAATTCAATTTTAACTTGGATTACAAGTATACCAAGGTATATTAAGATTTTAAGAAATTCTAGGAACTATTTTCAAGACTTGTCCACTTGTCACATTCAAAATCAGGTGTGAACAAGTCTTAAGGGGACATTTATAGAAAGAGAAAAATTATAAATCAATTTCGTGCCGCCGTGTGGATTTGATGACATTATAATCATATAATTAATTATTTATGTGTCATATATTTATTCATTGAGATAATTTGAAGATAATATTTAAATTGGACCAATTAAAATTTAGTTATTAGTCATCCAATTTGTCTATAATTAAATCAATGTAGTTTAGAGATAATATTCATATTTTTGACAAATCAAAATTTAATTATTAATCATTTAATTTATCTTTGAAATATGATGTGTTTTTGCTGGGAACCCAAGATCTGTACGAAGTACACCAAGGTCATTATCATCAGGGCTTTGTTATTTTTTTAATAATTATTTTACTTTTGATTTTTTTTAAATTATGTCATTTTGAAGCTTTCTTACATCCTTAAAAACTCTAGTTATAAAAACCTAGATATAGGAAAGAGAAAAAAAAAACGAGGTAAAGAGAGAATTAAGAGAAAAATAAGAAAAAGGTATTTTTATAATTGAGGTTTTAGAGAAGGTAAGAAAGTTCTAAAACGACGTAATTTTAAAAAAATAATAATAAATTATTAAAAATAAAAATTTACTCATAATAATAATTACACATTATATTAAAAAAAAAGTAACGTTGTAGCATCCTAACATGCTACGTTAACATGCCATCTATTCAAGTTGCCATATTAACAAAAATGTGTCATTTCAATATTATATTAATATTAATGTTATCTTATTTAATAATTAAATTAAATGTTCAAAAAATTAAATTAAATAAAATATATAAATACAAAAATCTTTCAAGTATTTTGACCAAAGTTGGAGCGAGCTTGAGCTGAGCTCGAGCATTGGGTTTATTGATGTAGGTGGAGGCTGCCAATCTATCAAGTCGGCTGGACTGGATTACATCCAATCAACGGAAGTGGGTCGTGATGATAATGGCTTTGATGATACGAAATTAAAAATTGACTACTAGAATTGAAGTACTTTTGACCTTTAGTCATTCAGCCTGTTGGTGGCATGAATTTTCAACAAACCTAGGATTTTTACCTACTAATTTACCACTTTACCTTTAAAGTTTGAAGCATCTCGTGGATTGGGTTGAGTGTCACTTGGTCTTTGCTTGTGTATGCCCACGCTTCTTAAGGTGCAAAATTTGTCAACAAATATATGAGGAAATGGAATACAATTGCAATTGAATAAGACTAAATAATAAAGCTAACCCCTGTGATGTTTGATAATCTTTAAAATAAATGCTGCCCTTTTTTCTTTTAAAAATAAGTCAAAACTGTTGACTTTCAATTTAACCATACGAAAATTTAGTTTCAAATGAAATGAAGTGAAGCTAAGGCATATCTATGATATGAGTTAGGACTTAGTCCCTTTATAGAAAGTAAACATTACAGTAATGGTATCAATGTTGCATG